ATTGTCATAATCAACCCTATATATTTAATTAGTCTCACTTTGATCACCAAATTAGTACTAGATTAATACTTAATCAATACTAATTAAATAATACTATTATTAATATATTAGAACTTATAATATATTAATAATCATAAGTGCCTTATTCTCTCATCTAGTCTATCCAAGTATTGCAATGCCATGCAACCCAAATGGACAATGTCGGGTCGGGTCAAGTACATACCAAATAAAGTTATGGACTTAGACACTATATCCAACAGTAAACGCCTTGTCTCTTCCATCTGTTGATCCAACATCATCTGCACCGTCGCCTGTACTCTTGCTATCGTGATTGGATCAGGTGCAACTTCTACTTCTGGTGCTCTCTCAATTACTTGTGGCTCAGGCTGCGGGTTATCGTTTCCAAATTCACTTCGAGTGCTCACCATGTCGATCTGTACACCAGAATCAGACGTTCGGTGTGTAGTGACGAGAATTTAGATAGAAAAGATTTATTTATGATAAACGTATAAAATCTCCTTATCACTCTGAAAAGTTACATGCTAGTTCTAATACCGTAATCAAACGTTTAGAAACTTGTACACATAAAATTTCCAGATCCGGTCGGCAACAGACCATAGATCCGATCAAATAATAACATATAAGGCATCTTTATATAAACCATTTAGCACATAAAAGCATTTCGGGCATCTTTCCTTAAATAAACTAGTGCTCGTGTCTGAAATATGCTAGACACTCATCTCACAATCATCGCTTAGAATTCTAAGTTTAAGTCTAGAAATCCTACAAATTCCTAGTTCGCTTAAACTAATGCTTTGATACCAACTGTGACATCCCCATTTTCGAGGCCAGAAAAGACCGATTTTGTTTATGCTTTATAATAAAATCAGAGCAACTTTTTAAAGAAAAGTGTTGCAGAATTTGTCCCCAGAAAAACATGATAAATATGTAATCAAAGCATTTCCGTGGAAATGTATTTTATTAATTTTAAAACTTTGGGATGTCAACATCAATACAGAAACATAAGCATAAATAGAACTTACATTCAGTACACTAGTGATGTACATCTCTTTAAACTCTCGGGTGTAGTGTAGCTTTATGTCGACACCTGTGATACAAATAATATGAGTGGGTCAGGTTGGGAAACCTGGTGAGTATACAGGGTTTTCAACCCACAATAATAATGTTATTATGTTTCATCATCAAACAATTAACCCAGTTAACCATCCCCATTATCTTATTTATTTATTAAGGATCTACCCTAAGAATCATCTATCACTCATTCCTAAGGGTTTTCCTAAGGAATAGGCACGAAGTCCATCGTCGTCAGGGTTTATTCAACAGGCACTAAATCCATAGTTGCCAGGGTTCATCAAACGGTTGCTAAGTCCATAGCTCTCTTTTATCGACAATATTATTTGCGGGAGTCCACCTACAATACATGTCAATGGGTTTTTAGAGTACATCGGGTGAACATATCGCTCACAACACCTACAAGTTGCGAGCCTGCTAGTGTTCCACGGATCGTCTAGAATAGTCCATGGTTGTCATCCATACTCTGCTAGATGACAGGGCCATCGTTTGGGTAAAGGTTTCTCTCATTTTTCACCCCTCACCCTCATCTCATGATCCATATCACCTTTTCATCTCGTCCTCCAACTCATTTTTTTTTCATCACACACCAACTTATTTCATCTGCCCATGTTCTACCCAACATATTAGTAGATATAAAACACATATATAGTTCAGATCTTAAGAAAAAGTTTAGATCTGTAAAAGAAAATACATATACGGTTCAGATCTGAAGAAAAAGGTCTAGATCTGAAAAAAACAAAGTTTAAATCTTTCATCCATCATAACTTTCAAAGCATAAAATACATATATAGTCTAGATCTGAAGAAAAAGTTCAGATTTGAAAAGAAAGAAGCTTAGATATTTCATCCAGCACAGATCTCAAGTACAAAATACTTATATACAGTTTAGATCTAAAAAGTTTAGATCTGAAGTGAGAAAGTTTAGATCTGAAGGGAAAAGTTTCAGATCCAAGAAAAAAAGTTTAGATGTGAAAGATAAAGTTCAGATCTGAAAAGAAAGAAGTATAGATCTTCATACAACATACATCTCAGGTAAACAGGTAATATATATATATATATATATATATATATATATACACACACACACACACACAAAGCACATAATTTATATAAAACACTTCATATCTATGTGTAAGATGAAAGTGACCATACACTCACTTGATAAGGGGGTGATTCGGACATCACTTCGCTTCTTAAAATATAATCTTCTTTGATGAAACCGGGAGGTTTGCTTGAAAACCGGGCTCTATGCGGGCATAGTTTCAAACCGAAAAACTCTTTTTATCGGAGTCTTCTAGCGCTCCGGGGCTTTCTTCAAGTGCTAGGGAAGTTTCCTAGGCTTTTGGGGGGTGTTTTGGGAGGTTTAGAGAGTGTGTAGAGAGAGAGAAAGAAGTGGGGAAGGAGTGAAGGATGAAGGCTGGCCTCGGTTGGTATTTATAGGCTGAAAATGGGGTGAACTGGTCGAGTTTCTGGCCCAACTCTTCGAGTTGCTGGTCCAACTCGTCGAGTCAGTGCCACGTTTTGTCATCTGGTGCGGAGAAAGCAATAGCTCAGATTGCGCCACGTCACCCATTTTGCTGCAAGACCCAGCCGACTTCTAAACCCGGTAACTTTTGCATACGAGCTCCATTTTCGACGTTCTTTATATCCACGCGTAGGTGGGAACATTCTCTACAACTTTTAATTAGACTCCATCGGCTAATTATCGATCGATTTTAGATTTAACAGTATGAGAAGATTACACTGCTAAACGACCGTGTAGAATTCATAACTTCTACATACGGACTCCATTTTTTACTGTCTTTTTATCGTTGAACTCCTATTAATGAGATCTTCAATTCGCATTTAGGTTGCGTCGGCTAAAAATCGCCCGATCTAAAATTCGAACTTCGGGTTTTTCATTGCCGATCCGAAACTTAGAAAAATCATAACTTCCTCATACGAAGTCAGATTTGGGTGTTCTTTTTATGCACGCTCTCGGTTTAACGAACACTACGACTTTAGTTTAGATCGATAGGGCTAAAATGTTCTGTATCATAAATTTACTATTTACGTCATGCAGTGTCGTGCCGGTTCTGTCGCGAAACTTCGACGTGCCATAACTTCTTCGTTATAACTCGGATTTCGGCGTTCTTTATATGTACGGAATCCTTGTCACGAACACTAAATTTTTTTCATAGATATCGAGTTTATCTAACATTTTATTTTTGACACTTATTTTCATTCTTGATTTATTATATCTTTATAGACAAGTATATAAGCACGTAAAATCACATAATTCACATAATATTCAAGTAATTCATCTTTATTACTTCAAAATGAGTTACAATGGTTGACCTATACTATCACATCATCGCATCAACGCTTAGCCTCGAAACACGGGCGTTACATGTAGTAACTTGTACCTGCAATTGTCTAATTTGGAACCGAAGGATAAACTTGGAGACTTGATTTTTCCAGCGTTGAAACCAATTCCCATTGTCGTGAACCATGAGATGGATCTGGGTAATAATGAAATTGATTAATTACAAGTGAATTATTCGAAACTGGTTAGGCAGATGATTTCTTTTATAAACAATCTCTATAATATCCCCATCTGAAGATGTCACCACCTTCTTCCTCATTGAACAATTTCAACTAGAATACTTGTAATAACTTCTTGGATTTTCACTGCCTTTCACTTGTTTTTGCCTGTGCCTGTATTTTCTCTAATTATACCCATCATCTAACTTCTTATGTGATGATCGATGACCAGTTGGGTAATTTGATTCAAAGCTCTGTTTCTGAAATGAATATTCTAATTTTACCAAATTTCTGTCAACTTTGATTCTGGGTTGGTGATAGATTTCCTAAAAAGTTTCAATCCAATTTGTGGTGAGTTCTTGAAGAACTAAAAAACCTATAAAAGATAGAGATATGAAATGAAATTAGGACTAATAAAAAATAAATTAGGGCTAAGAGGAACCCTAGGCGTCGGGGGGGAAGAAATATGAGTAAAACGGTGAAACAGTGGTCGTTGATGGAATACAGAATTTAAGAATACGTGATTTCAGTCATTTTCATATACAAGAACTCACCAATTTCAAAGAATCAGAGAAGATAGAGAAAATGACGAAGAAAGAAGGAGAATCATAGATGAGAATCGGACCTGTGGAAAGAACCGGTGGTGGCTAACACGGCGGCAGTGGCTAGGACGGCGGCAGAGAGCGACGGTGGCTTGGATGATGGTGGAGAAGAAGATGTCGTTTAAGACCGAGCGTGATAGAAGGCTATATTGATTTCATAACTCGTGAGAGAAAAAGAATACGACCTGAGTAAAAGGAATTAGGTTAGAAAACATTAACTACCCAGATAATACTTGCTCATTCTTCAATCTACGATATAACAACTAATCATGAAATAAATGAATAATTCAAAATTCATCATCGATCACAGTTACCAAATTTTTTGAAAAAAATGAACCATGCCGGTTAGAACCACCACAATCAACCGCCTAACCTTTTTTTACCATCTTACCATTATATATGAATTAAAACAATTCAAAATTTCAAAAAATGCTTTTAATTCTATAATACTATTCTCATTGGATGTTTTCATTTTCATAAAATATTTGTATTTTTACAAGAACCTACTTTTATATATATATATATATATATATATATATATATATATATATATATATATATACCTTAAAAAGCATTTACCATGTTTTGCTGAATTTTAAAAGGTACAACCCCTTATACAGCATTTACAACAACTTTATAAAAAATAAAAATCTTATTGGTCAACGTATTCTTTGAACCTTCAATTTCGCTAGCTTTTGACCACGTCCAATTTCCTATCCCATCCAACAACCACCCAAGTATGTCGCCCTTTTCTTCCGTCTATATTGCAATATCTCTGTTAATATTTTTCCCCATTTATATAATCGTCCCCTATCCGAAACCTCACTCTCTATCTCAATTTTAATCCCTAAAACTCACTTAGATCTTGATATTTTGGAGCTGACAGCCTACGATTTCTCTCTACACTCTACCCATCTGTATTCCGACACCACGAATCATCGGCCATGTATTTGGTCGTCACTATTGTCGCCACCAAAAAACACACAGTCGGACCACTGATCCAGACCCAGTATACCGACGATGGTCCGCTTCTAAGCCCTTACCAAGGTCTCTTTCTCTCTCTCTCTCTCTCTCTCTCTCTCTCTCTATCTATCTAATATGTGTGTGTGTGTGTCAATTTTATGGATTTGTATCTACGCCCATATGAGATTTACCGGTTTTGTAGGGACCTGGCTACATAGCCTTCTTCACATTGGGAGCTTGGAAGGTTAACGGAGGTTGGGGTGGAGGTGCAAACCATCTCTGTGGCTAGAAAGCCTTATTCTCTCTCTCTCTCTCTCCACACTACTGACTTTCTTGAAGAAACCCTTTCTCAGGTTTTAAATTTACATCTTAATAAGTTTTTATGTGTTTAGGTTTCTTTCAAAATCTCATATATGTTGTCTTGTAGGTTTGATAAACGGTTTTCAGATTTAGATGCAGATGAACCAAAAGGGAACGAAAATGGTTTTGAATATGGGTTATCAAGTTGCTCATTAGCTCAAACCCATTAAGGTAAGTTTTATTGCTTTTCTTTGATTATTGGTCTTTTTGTCTAATTTTAGGGTAAATTATGAAGATTAGGTATGGAAAACATTAGTACTTAATATAACTAATTACTCATTTGTATTGATGAATTTGATGTACAGGGGAACAAAATTATAGATACATGTTGATGCTTGTTGATGATCATTCTATTTCAAAGAGGTAAATAAATTATAAACATTTATTGTTTTTCTTTGATAGTGAGTTGGATTGGTTAGTATTAGATACATGTTCTGACCCTAAAACTATATACTCTCTCTGTCACTTGATTCTCATTCCTTGATGAAGAACACTTGCAAACCACGGTTTGTCTAACCCTATTTCTGTCTCTTGCTCTCAAAAGCTTCTATCGGCTGCTTCTCAACCATGATTACTCTATTAATTTTCTGATTATGAAATTTGTGTGTTTGTGCTGATGTGTAGCTTGAAGAACCGATAGTCTAAGTTTCACCTACAGCCCATCTGTTTTCTCTCTTTCTCTTCCTCTTTGTCTCCTAAAATAATATTCCTTAAACATGTATACAACAGGGGATAAATGGAAGGACTGAAAGCTTAATTTTGTGTCTTGGCTTTGTAGGGAAACAAATTTTGTGAGCATGAGTATTGATTTATGCTAATGTTAAATCTGGCACACCTGATCAGGTGATGAACCTCTATCAAAATGACATGGTTAACAGTTAACAGTTGGGGACATGTATGTTTATGCTTATGTTTGGACTCGAATTCACGTGTTAGTTTGGCAAGCCATTTTTTTTTTATTTGTACGCCCTTTGATTAGGGCTTAACTTTATTTTGACTGATATAGTTGGTGGTATTTGTCTATTCCTCCATAGTTATCTTTATAAATTTTCAAGTGTTGATTTAGTTTGACATTAAGGGTTGAAATTAATAGTCTAGCTGTAAAAATTTGATAATGACCAGTTTGCCCTTGGACCAAAACTAAAAAACAATAACGACAAGGACTAACTTTGTAATTTTTGCATGTCCTTGAATAAAAATTTATAAATCACAGATGTGCTCTTCTTTTTGAAAGTTTATAACAAAATCAAAGGATAAGAGCTATTTACAAATTTACTTTTTGTAGTGTACTTTTTCCCACTATCCAAGGGCAAAATGGTCGTTTTAAAAGTCTTAACACTAGGCTATTAGCTTAAGAAAAATTGTAGAAAACTTTTTGGGACCAAAATTGTAAAAATCGAGGACCAAAATGTAATTTACTCGAAAAAAGAAATTAACTTTTCATTTACGTGTATTTCAATTATAACATCTTACTTTCCGTTATATGTGTACTATAGCATCGTACTTCCATTTCGTTTTGGAAATAACAATATGCTTTCAATGTTCCATCCTACATTCTGTAATATCTATTACAACTTTGTACTTGAAACATTTACCAATTATAGAAATGACATACAAGGAAAAATGAAAGTACAATGTTATATTTATATTGGGTAGATTATCGATGTACAAAGGTTTATTAAGAAAAAAATTGGAAGTACAGTGTAATACACAAATAAATCAAAATACATTGCAACAACCACATATATAATGAAGCATCATTGTCTTTTAATCTTCCCGATGAAAATTTTAGAAAATTGTGATTAGTTAAGACACCTAATGAGGTATGTGATCATTTATCTTATTAATATTTTGTACGTTGAATAAAATCTATCCAATTAAGACATTCTACTTTGAATCTACACTCTGGTTGTCGCGGATCTACAATATATGGCTTAATGAACTCACATGCAACTACTTAACTTACCAAAAAGACACAGATCAAGGAAACAACATCAACCCCCCCCCCCCCCCACCCACCCACACACACACACACACATACACACTCTCTACCAATGGCTTTGCCAATATCCCTTGAAATTGCTTTTTAGAGTCCTCACTTTTTTTTTGATTTCTGCCACAACATGTTTGATGAATCCTCGAGTTGTTGATTTTGCTATATAAGGTTTATTTTTTCTGCACTTCTGCCACACTCTACCAATGGCTTTTCCAATGGTCCTTGAAATTGCAGTTGTTATGGAGTTTTTATAACCTCATTTGTTTGATTCTTCATATTGTGATAATCTGATTCGTGTACAAGCATGATTTGTATTTACTTTTTTTTTATGTACTTCCCATATAGATGTGTTTACCCAGCAACTAATTACTTTCACAAAAACAATATATTGACTTTAGGATTAATATATATTATTGGGAGGGCAAATGAAATGGAGCAAATTTTTATTGGCCAAGCCTTTGTAAAAACAATTAAAAGTGTTCCTAACATTAGAGGTGAAATTGATGAATTTTTGGCTGTCTGGAAAATACAGCACGATGTATGTGATGCTAGCTAGAGCTTAATTGTGGAAGATTTGAAAGTAAACGGATTTTTTGTGGAATAGGATTTATATTAGATCACTTATTGAATACTTTTTTATACAAAATTTTCACATGATTATTATTAATACTGTAAAGCTTGGATTATATAATATTTCTACCAAGAGAGTATGTAACCTTTGGATTTATGTTTGATGCATTTTTGCATACCAAGTTAAAGAGTTTTATAATGAAAGAGTCTACGTGGTGACTTTTATTTAAAAGTTTCTACGAGATTAAGTAAACACCCGATTTTTAAAAAATGAATTAGGGTGAATAAATTAATTTCATGAAAAAAAAAAACATAATTAATAGCAACCTTATAAAACCCTAAAATAATATGGATTGGTAATATGTGGTTTTAATTACCCTAAACTAAAGTAATTTTTTGTATATTTTTCATGGAAAATTATATAAAAATAAGGTATTTTAATCGAAGTTTATATTGTAAACTTTAATTTATAAATAAAAAATAATTATTTTACATAATTTATCCATATGGTCTAAAGACTAAAGCAAAATCTAAAATTTAAATAAACAAAACCAAATTAAATTTTTTAACTAATGTTTATTAATCCACAAGCAATAATAATTAAATGCAAATAAATAACAGTTATATAATTGTTAACACAAAACAATGATATGATTTTATTTTAACCAAACAACGGCTATCCCCATTGAATGTGGTGTATAAACACAATGAACATTTATAAATAATCTCAAATTTTCATTTTTAATTATTATTGATTACGTTTATGCTACCATGATTTTTATTGATAATTGTTTAGATGTTTTAACCACGTAAAATAATTAATTTCTTCTACAAATTAGTTTCTAAAAGAAATTATTTGTACCCGTCGCTTGGCGCGGGTAAACGGCTAGTATATATATATATATATATATATATATATATATATACACACACACACGAGCCGTTTACCCGCGCCAAACGCCGGGCGACAGATTTTCTTTCAGAAGATAGTTTTAATGTGATGATTAGTTTCATTTAGACGTGAGCTATTCATTGTGGCCTTTTGGTAGACTATTTTGTGTCGAATAGTTCATTTAAACGGATAGTTTCTAGCTAGGTGCATAGTCATACAATACGGCCGAAGTTGAGTATACATTTGGAATTTCATCTAATAGTTCATACTTGATTTTACAATATATAAATTACAACAATCTGCAATCATATAGTTTTGTACATTTATAACATGTCCAATATATGAACTACACCAATCTGCAATCATGTTGATTAATCTGCTAGTCCTGCATTAAACATCAAATGAGCATATAAGATACATATTAACAAATTGATATCATACCATAAATACTACACATTAACAAATATACTAAAATAAGTTAAAAATCAATTTAATAACTGTCATAAGCCATACCAAAAATATTTTAAATCATACCAAAAATAATTAAAAACTACTTTATTAGTAGTCCTCACTAAAAATTAATTAAAAGTTGTGATTTTTTTATTTCGCAAAATTGACATCATTTTCAAAGATAAAAAAATTGTACTGAAATTTTTTTTTTGGCAACAAAGCTTTATTAAAATCATTAGTTGAAAATGTGGTTATTTTTTTATTAAGCCTTATTAAAATCAAGATTTTTTTTTAAATGTGTAATGAAAAGTTTAATAAATAAAAATGAAAACATTAAAGTATTGAAAAAAAAACACCCTTTGCCTAAGCAACAAATCTTAACAAAATAGAAGGAATCAGATTCCTTAGGGAATCGTCCATTCCATTCCATCAATGAAAATAGATAAATAATAATAATAATAATAATAATAATAATACGGAATTCTTACTTGGTGAAGTCTAAAAAGTGTATAAAACGCATCATTCCCGTAAAAAACACGGAAATCTTTTTTTTCACCACCACATGAAGAAGAAGCTACACATTTCGCCAAGGGCTTAACGGTCCGTAAAAAATGCTCAGATGGTGGTAATAAATACACAGAATCCTCAATTCCATTCCCTTCTCCTTCACTTTCCGGTTTACATTCATCTAGCTGTTTGTATAAAAGAAATTTTAATTACAAATAACATAGATAAAAAAATGGGTGATATAATACTGTGACACAGGAACCTCATGAATATTTGACTTTGCTTCATGACTATTTTCAGTAGCATTACTTGGTCTAAAAGCCCTCATGTGCAAGGTATATGAATGAGATTAACGGACTTAAACTCACTTCAATGAAACCTGGAAATAGGGACCAAAGTGGGAAAAAAAATCTTTTTGGATCAAAACCGACGAAAATTAAGAAACATAGGGACAAAAAATGTAGTTAACTGAAAGAAAAAACAAAATAACATACTGAAAGATAAAGGTAAAAAAAAAGAATATACCCATGAGCTTTTTCTATTATTTTGACTCTAGAAAGTATACAGTCTAATAAGTTGTCATTCATTAAAGTGGAGGCGAATAAACGCTTCTTATCTAGAATAGCAGCAACTTTTTTCATAACCTGAGTGATAATAAGTTGGAAGGAAAAAGGAAAAAAAAAAGAGCTGAATATCAAATTCTAATAAATATACAAATAGAAAAGGTTGCAGAAACTAACTGTATCTTCAGCTGAAAAACCACTGCATTCTAAAGTAATTTTTATCATCAGATGTTTTGAAAAACTCCACAATCCTGCCAACATGTTTTTTGCTTTCCCTCACCCTGAAAAAATTTACTTAGATAAATGACCTTCTTACCCCTGTAGTTAAGAATAGAAGTGGCAATGCTAATACATAATGATCTAAACAATTGGTCATACAATTGACCTTGTTATCAAGGAACTTGTTCACAATTAGTCAAACTAACCTCTGTTCTTTGAGGCACATTTTGATTAGTAATTTAAGTATAAACCTTGTATTAATGGCTATTTTTAAAACTTTTATATAAAGAAATATTATGTTTAACGATTTGTTTAAAAAAAAGTAAATATAAAAATGCCATATTTCAAAACAAATCATTTTACTTTTTGTATAAATATACCCATTAAAAGAACGTTGTGGAGTCATTTGTTTCTCTGTTGCTAAAAGTATAGCAAAATGAAAAAATCAAAATGTTTTTGTATACATTAGAAATTGTAGGACTCCAACGGAATTGAATTGCCTCTATTTAGCAACCAAACATGCCATGGAATGGAATCTCAAATTCCAATTCCAATAATGCCCTTAGTTTTTAATTAAAGAGCTATTTATATTACCTTGGCAATGTCAAGTTTACCAAGCTGAATGGCCAACTCAAATCTATAATCACGGTCTGTAGCAACTTCCAAGGCCTCTTCATCTACAGGTCTTCCACTATCGAGATGTGCCGATACTACATCACGCTGCAACATAACAAAACTTATATATTAATCATATTTTTGCACAATACAAAAAAACACAATGTACTTTGACCATTTTATCGGTTTAGCCACTTAATTAAACCCTTTATACTCTTTTTTTAATGTTTAAAGAAACCATTTTCTCCCATTAATCGGTTTTGAAAAATGTTAAATTACAGAAAAGCAAAACATATTTTCAACATTTGAAAGATTTAGCCACTGGACACTGAACTACTTTTTTATGCTTAGTACAATAATAGTTCAGTGGCTAAATTGATATTGTAAAAGTAGATTGTGTTTTTCTGTATTTTGCCTTGAGATAAACCCAGGTAACCGCCAAAATGGTTTTCTTCTAAAGTATTTAACTTTTAAATCACTATAGAAAATAGTCAAGCGGCTAAATTCATATAATGCTTTTCTGTATATTTCCCTTTGCACAAATGTAAATGGAGAAAAATGATAAAGATTAAGGATCTTACATCGTATTTTAGCACGTAGAATGATGAATCAATGGAAATTGCCACTAAATCACCACTATCAGCCCATTATAGGTTCTAAAAATGAAGAAAGAAAAACAAAAACAATATTGTTTCTTATATTTAAGCAGAAGTGTTGACAGAAAAGGTGATATGTGAACAATATATAAGCAAAATAAAGATAAGAGTAACAATTATTACCTTGACATTAACATCAATCCGTTGAATCAATCTGCACTCAGACCAATCATGAAAACATATAAAATCATTTGAGCACATTGCCAGCAAAGATCCTCCATATATTCGCTCAGCTGAAAATGTCGGCCTGATACTCTTCTTTCCTGATTAATAAGACCATCGAAAAGAATTTTAAAAAAATGAATAGAAATGCAAGAAGAGGGGCAATTTCGTCATTGATTAAATTCATTAGGTATAGGGAGTGCACAAACCTGGAAAGATTTGTTAAAAATCTTGACTTTAGATGTGCTCTCTCTAAAAGCATACTCAACATCTGTTGATCAAACAAATTCCAAAACAGAAAAGGTGATATGTGAAAACATACATATCGGCTTCCGTTTCAGCTATGGATACATAAAGCCTTTTGTATTACAAATGATCAATAAAGATTTTATAAGCAATATGTATGTAAGACTTCTAATTTAAAAATAACACCAAGATCAATCTCGAACACAGGCATAAACTTCTAATCTCAAGCTATGTTATTGCAGCAAGTGAGTTAATATGCAAAAGAAATGTTGAAATTTTTTTATTAAAAAACAACAAAATATTTCGAAATATAAAAATAAAATATTAAAGCCTTTTGTATTACAAATGATCAATAAAGATTTTATAAGCAATATGTATGTAAGACTTCTAATTTAAAAATAACACCAAGATCAATCTCGAACACAGGCATAAACTTCTAATCTCAAGCTATGTTATTGCAGCAAGTGAGTTAATATGCAAAGAAATGTTGAAATTTTTTTATTAAAAAACAACCAAATATTTCGAAATATAAAAATAAAATATTAAAGCCTTTTGTATTACAAATGATCAATAAAGATTTTATAAGCAATATGTATGTAAGACTTCTAATTTAAAAATAACACCACGATCAATCTCGAACACAGGCATAAACTTCTAATCTCAAGCTATGTTATTGCAGCAAGTGAGTTAATATGCAAAAGAAATGTTGAAATTTTTTTCTTAAAAAACAACCAAATATTTCGAAATATAAAAATAAAATATTAAAGCCTTTTGTATTACAAATGATCAATAAAGATTTTATAAGCAATATGTATGTAAGACTTCTAATTTAAAAATAACACCAAGATCAATCTCGAACACAGGCATAAACTTCTAATCTCAAGCTATGTTATTGCAGCAAGTGAGTTAATATGCAAAAGAAATGTTGAAATTTTTTTATTAAAAAACAACCAAATATTTCGAAATATAAAAATAAAATATTAAAGCCTTTTGTATTACAAATGATCAATAAAGATTTTATAAGCAATATGTATGTAAGACTTCTAATTTAAAAATAACACCAAGATCAATCTCGAACACAGGCATAAACTTCTAATCTCAAGCTATGTTATTGCAGCAAGTGAGTTAATATGCAAAAGTAATGTTGAAATTTTTTTATTAAAAAACAACCAAATATTTCGAAATATAAAAATAAAATATTAAATCGTGTGCTAATCATAACATCAGAAATTTAGAAGCAATTACCAAAAGCCCTTGTTCTCATATTGTCGATTTTCCTTGGCTTGGCCTTTCTCCTTTTTGAAAGCCATCTATTTTAAGGTCTAAGCCACCGGCATACCCGAAATTGAAATAAAAACCGAAAATATCCAAATCATTTTGATGATGAAAGATGATGAAGAACTAAGAATCACATAGAGAGATCAGGGTGAACTGGTCAAGATAGGATTGAAAACTTTGTTATGAAGCCATAATTGGGGTTTCACAATGACAAAAACATCTAGAAACTTGTTTAACTTTGATGAATGACTCCACTCATTCAGATCACGGGATGATGAACACACAAATACATACAATCATACTAAAAAATGACTTACATTGGTTATGATTTTCAATTCAAAATCGGGAGCAGTTGAAGATGATCGCGATGTTAGGATTTATCATTTATCAAACACATATACACACACTGCCGGAGGCTTGAAGTGAAAAATTGGGGTTCAGGAAGAATGGTGAGGGATTTCATCTTCGTTTTCATCAAAGACCAACTCCATTCTTCGTAATACACACACTGATGGATGCTGGTGGTGACGGTTAGGGTTGTGGAGACTATTAGCGTTTGTCGTCGTAACAGAAGGTAGAAGAGGGGCAAGAGAGGGGGGCGATGGTGGAGGTAACTTAAGGTTAGGGTTTCCAGTGAATGGTGTGTAACGAAGGGTTATGGTAACATAGGGATACCTGAGACGGAAGAGAGTAAGCGAGAGATAGAAGAGATGTTGCTGGTACGATGGTAGTTTGGGAAGAAGGAGAAGCGGCGTAGCGGACGGCTTAGGGTTTCTCGATGAAGACGACTGGATTAGGATTTCAGTGAGTAATTGTGAGTCCGGGAATAAAAAATGTTGTTTGATTCCCGAATTAATTCCCTAAACGATTCATGTAGTTGTATTGGATAATAAGTTGTATATGGTATTGTATGTCTTAAATTTCAAGAAATGTATAATATGTTTAATAAGATAGTTAAGATAAGTTTTATATATATATATATATATATATATATATATATATATATATATATATATATATGTGTGTGTGATATTTGGCCCATTAGCATGGCCTAGACATATGTGGCACACCAGCCTTGCCTGACACTCTCCTGTCAACCCTGCTTGGCGCTCCCTTGCCAGCCTTGCCTCACACTCTCCTGACAGCCATGTTTGGCGCTCCTTTGCCAGCCTTGCCTGACACTCTCCCGCCATTCCTGCCTGGTGCTCCCTTGCTAGGCTTTCCTAATGCGTGCTCGTCAGCCTTGCCTGGTACGCGCCCCGCCAGCCTCGTCCAACGCCCCTAGGTGGCCTTGCCCAACTCCTTTCTAGTTGGTCCGGAATTGGGTTTGCCCAAGGCCTGGCCTAATTCCCCTTGACCGAATTGTCCCCTATAAACTGAACAGTACCACCTCCATGGAGAGGGACTCTTCCCAATTTCTCAGCCGCCACTCTAGATCTTCTCCGGTGGCTCAGCCGCCACTATCCTCCTACAATCGCAATGCCCATACACTACCCCCATCACCAAGATGGTTCTCTCCAGCCAAAGAGAATCATCTCATCACTACCAACCGATCTAACTTGATTGTTGGAGCTTACTCCCGGGGCACAGTCCCTGGGGCGGTTCTAACGACTTTGCTCTGTGATCCTCAGATCTCCGCCGCAGCAACTGTCTAGAATTCTTCTCAGAGATTTATGTTGCATCATTTGGCGTCATCCTAGACCGGAACGAGTAGCCATCGCCTCAATTGGTCTGAAGCTCGTTCTTTCCTAGATCAGTCAAGATGTGTTGCATTTTCACATCAGGTTTGCTCAGATCTGTTCATTTCTATAGTCATTTGTTCAGATCTATTTGGATCTTGCCAAGATATGTCCAGATCTGATTAGCTATCTTTCAGATCTCTCGATCTGATGCGTTTTTCGTTCAGATCTTTAGATCTGCTTCATTTTTAGCTCAGATGTCTAGATCTACAAGTTTTTGGTCACTCAATCATCTCTCAAGTTTAAAAACACCTTTTCAGACAAGTTTTTATTTATATTTTGGTGGTTCACATTAGCAAGTTGGGGAGAAAAGAGGTTTTTACGAGTCTTTTCCCGTCTCTGTTCATATTTTGGTGTTTTATCCAGCAACTTGAGAGGAGAAGAAATTTTCGTAATTTTTTACCTTATTTCCAGTTTATGTTGTCAAGAAATCACCTTTAGTTTATGATTTTCTGTGTACAACTTCATTCAAGTTGGTTATTTGGTGTTTTCTTTAGAAGCTTAGAGAAGGAAAATGAGTTTTTATCCCATTTTTTGCTCATATTCTATCAGAAAACACCTTTCTACCTTAATATTTACTCATATATTTCGCCCAGATCCCTAGATTTGATGTGTTTTTTGTTCACTCAAACATGCTTAAGTTTGCAAATAATTTCTCAAATAAGTTTTTGCTCACATTTTTTGTGGTGGTTTTGTTCAGTTTTGAGAAGAAAAGAAGTATCTTATGAGTTTTTATCCTCTTTTTCAGTTTATATTATCAGAAAATCCATTGTAGTTGCTGATTTCATATATACAACTTTGTTATGCTTGGACATTCCACAAAACCACCGATAGAAAAAAAAAATATAATTTAAAATCATTTTTTGATACTTCACCTAAATATTTTACTCAACCACTTCTGTTTACCCTTATCGTTAGTGTACAAGAATAGCCATTTGTGTTTCTTTTCAACAAACAAAAAGAAAAGGTGTATAGTTTACACCAGAAACCGACAAAAACATATCTAAGCAAGCAAAAGAAAAAAAACTCAAGGTGGGGCCTTGTGCTATTTAGAAGACTGAAGGCAAAATTGAGGGTGGGACCCATCTTGGTCCATCTCCGTTTTCAATGTCGTTCTTCCCAATCGTGCAATCCCTCGACTCCGATGAAGCAACTTCTGTTGAAATAATTCAGAGTTCAGGTTGTTTTTCTGCACAATTTTTATTAATATTAAGTAGTTTTCCCATTGAATAAATCAAAGACCACGTGTGAAGATGATTCCCTGGTCTTTAGCATGTAGCTAGTTAGTTCCTGCTTTTTTGCTAATTTTCTAGTTTAAATAGCAAGGCATATGTACATTGTGTTTGTATCCCAATTTTCTTTCTTGTTTAGTTCAGTGAATAAAAGTACTTTGCCTCAAAATATCTCTTGTGCCTTTACTTGTCATCTGTGCTTCTCTGTTCACTGTACAGACTAGTAAAAACTGTTTTTCCAGTTTTACCCTTCCTGTCACATACAAGTTTTTTGTCCCCTGTGCAGTTTACTTTCTTGTCCCCTGTTTTCTCTTTTGGTATAAAGTTCTAGTCAACCCTGAAAAAGAGAAACATTTGGTATCAGAGCTCACAGGTGCATGCCCAAGTACCAGTCTCGTGAAGAGATGTCTGGAAATAATGGAAATGGTGACAAGGAAAGTCAGATCACTTTTCACTACCCTATGCTCACCAGGAGTAATTATGGTGCATGGGCTATAAAGATGAGAGTCTTCATGCAAGCTCAAGGAGCTTGGGAAGCAGTGGATCCCAGAACTCAGAACACGGTGGTAGAAGTTAAGAAAGATAAGATGGCATTGGCAGCCATCTATCAAGGCATTCCTGAAGACCTGTTACTCTCATTGGCAGAGAAGAAGACAGCCAAAGAGGCATGGGATGCCTTAAAAACCATGTTTATGAGAGCAGATAGGGTGAAGACAGCTAGAATACAGACATTGAAGACAGAGTTTGAGGCCATGACAATGAAGGAGACAGAAGGGGTAGATGACTTTGCTGCCAAAATATGCAACATTGTGAGCACCATGCGCACTCTTGGGGACACTATAAAGGAGTCATATATTGTGAAGAAGCTGTTGAGGGCAGTACCATCCAAGTTCCTCCAAATTGCTTCAACAATTGAGCAATTTGAAGATATAAATTCCATGTCCATTGAAGGAGTGATAGGAAGGCTTAAAGCCTATGAAGAACGGATGAAATACCATGTTGAGCCAGAAGATAGAAAGCTTCTCATGACCTATCAGCAATGGTCAGAGAAGAACAAGAAGAAAGGTGAGGGTGACTCAAAAACAAAGACAAACCGAGGTGGTTTTAGTGATTCACGTGGAAGAGGAAGAGGCAGAGGAAGAGGTCGTGGTGGCCATGGTAGAGGTGGTCACCATAATCAGGGAGGCCAAGGCACTTCTAGCAGTCAAGATAAAAATGGTGTACTGTGACATCCCCAATTTCACGGCCAGAAAAGACCGATTTGTTTATGATTTGTTTTTAAAATCAGAGTAATCGTTTAAAGAAAACTGTTGCGGAATTTGTTCCCAAAACAAAATATGATAAAAATTTATCAAAGCATTTCTTAAAGAAAAGTATTTTCATTATATAACAAAATCTCGGGATGTCATGTTCCGATACAGACACATAAGCATAAACAGAACTTACATTTATTTACACTAATGATTTACATCTCCTTTAATCCCTCAGTGAAATATGTCTTCGTATTGATACCTGTGATACAAAGAAAACTGAGTGGGTCAGGCTTGGGAGCCTGGTGAGCATATAGGGTTTTCAACCCACAATAATATAATTATTATATTTAATCAACAAACAATCAACCCAATTACCCATCCCCATTATCTTCTTTATTTCTTAAGGTTTTACCCTAAGAACCAACTATCCTTCATTCATTCATTCCTAAGGATTTACCTAAGGAATTGGCACGAAGTCCATTGCTGCCAAAGTTTATCTATCAGGTACTAAATCCATAGCTATCAGGCGCTAACTCCATAGTCACCAAGGTTCACTTAACAAGCGCTAACTCCATAGTCGCCAAGGTTTACTCAACAAGCTCTAACTCCATAGTCGCCAAGGTTTACTCAACGTGCACTAATTCCATAGTCGCCAAGGTTCATCAAATAGGCACGAAGTCACATCGTCGCCAAGGTTTATACAATAGGCGCTAACTCCATAGTCACCAACTATCCCATCTACCCATGTTCTACCCAACATTTTCGTAGATATAAATACTTACACAGTTTAAATCATTTAACACCTGTATAAAACATCAATTTCATGCCCATTTCAAATAGACAAATAATATATAAACACATAGCACGTATTTCATAGCAAATACTTCGTATTTATGTGTTAGAAGAAAGTAACTACACACTCACACCAAACGTATACTTAATACGTTCAAACAATACTTGTATTAAAATCGTGTTTATGAAAGGGACTATACACTCACCTGATCAGAAGATGATCGGGTAGCACTACGACTCTAAGAGTAGTATTTCTTCGGTGAAACTAGAAGATCTTCACACACCGGGCTTCTCGCAGGCAGAGCTTCGGCTCGGAAACTCTTTTCTTCTCGGGATCTTCGGGCTTCGGGACTTGCTTCAGGTATCGGGATGATACTGGGGCTTCGGGGGGTTAAAATAGGGATTAGAGAGGGTATCGGGAGTGAGAGAGTAAGGGAGGAGAAACCAAAATCGGCTGACCCTTGATTTCTATTTATAGGGTCATTTTTCAGCTCTCACGTCGTGAATTTTAAGTTCTCACGTCGTGAACTTAGTCGTCACTGCATGCGTCATCACAGGTTGCGTCTGACAGGCTCTGAAAGGTCAAATCACTGAGTTCACGTCGTGAACATTGTATTCACGTCGTGAACTCTGACACAGTATCGGGGTTCGCGCCCCAAACTTCAGAAATTCATAACTTTTGCATACGAGCTCTGTTTTCGACGTTCTTTATATCGACGCGTAGGTGAGACTATGCTCTACAACTCTCGTTTAGACTCCGTCGGCTAATTTTGACTTTATTTTTACTATATTTTTATTATATTATTTTTAGTAGGTCGGGACAGGAAAACTCCGTTAGAAATTTATAACT